CCCCACCCTCATTCCGCGGCCCCCCAGGGCGCCCCTAGAATGAGCACCTGACGCCCAGTGCCGGGCCGTGGTGCAGGGATGTGCCATGACCGTCACGGTCGTACTTGGAGACGGACAGTGGCCACCCGAGGGCTAAGGTCAAGGCGACACGTGGGCAGAGCAGCCGGCACCCGCCTCTGCCCGGCCAGGCGGGCCCCTCAGGATGGCCAAGGGGGCGGCTACACTCGTTGGGCAGGGGCACTCTGTCGCTCTGAGGGCTCCATGCCGACCCCAGGCCCACCTTGTACGCCTGCCGCACCCCTCCGTTGTCCGCGATGTTCTCCCCGAGCGTGCTGAACCCGTTCACCTGCAGCAGGGACAGGACGCGGGAGGGCAGCTCCCTTCTCTTCCCAGGCCGGGCTGGTGGGGTCCCTTCCCCCTCCCCCCTCTCCCTCTCCTCCCTCCCTAGTGTGGTCCCCACCCCAGGCTCTGTCTCCACCCCAGGCTCTGTCACCACTCTGGGCTCTGTCCCCACCCCCCCAGGCTCTGTCCCCACTCTGGGCTCTGTTTCCACCCCGGGCCCATCTCCCTGCTGGGCGCTCACGTTCTGCTGCTCCGCCAGGTCCCAGGAGTAGCTCCCGTACTGGTGCACCATGCACTGCGCCTGCTCCTGGAAGTGCTGGGCGGAGAAGTTGCTCCACCAGTCCAGCATGTTGCCCTCCTCGTCGAAGTTCCGGCCTGCGGGCGGCAGAGGGGCACCGTGGGCCCTGTGTGGGTCCTGCCTGCCCAGCTGGCTCTCCCGCGTGCCCTCCGGTGACCCCCCTCTCCCTCATGCCTTCCGGAGACCCATGTCTGAGCTCAGGTGTGTGAGCGGAGTCGGGCACTGAGGGCAGCGCCAGCTCAGTGGTCAGCACCTTGTCAGGGGACAAGGGCTGAGGCGCTGGAGAGACCGGCTTCGGGGGCCTCCCTGCCAGCTCCAGGGCAGAGCCTGGGTCCCAGGTGCCAGGTGCCAGGTCCCAGACCCCCCTGATGTCTAAGCCCCCCTCAGGGTGGGTGTGGTCCTGGGACATGGGCTGCCTTGGAAGGTGCCCAAGGCCAAGCTCTGGGTGAA